TGACACTGGATTTCCAACTCCTCATCATTCCACGCTCACCTTCCACAGCTGTGCTCCTGCTCCCACATTTCCTCTTCTGCTGGAAAAGCATTTTTCCCTCTTTCTCCCTAGGCTGGGCTACAGCTGGTGTTTTTCATACCATTGCTTAACTGGCTGGTTTCCCCATCAGGTTCTCTCTGCCTCGTGTCTCTGTCCAGAGGGTTGTTCACCCGATGGCTTTCCCCAGCAAACCAGCCTGACTCACCCGAGGTACGTGCAGAACGTCAGCGAGCGAGCCAGAGAGGCAGAGAGCAAAAATTAACAAAACAGTGAGGGAGATACAACTGCAGATTTTAACAAATACAAGCATTTACAAAGTTAAACTCTCAAATGCTGGACAAATCCAGACCTGAGGCTGCCTTTGGAGGGATAGTTTGGCCCCTTTTCCCTTCCCCCACCAATGTGTGTTATGTGACATGATTTAATTGTTTGGCTGCATACTATTTTTCCCACAGGACTAGTGCCTCATTTAGTGTAAACTCAGGACAGCGTCTGGGAATGAAGCTGCTCTCTGCATTTCCTGGACCAAGTGTGTGACCAGGAGCCCCATTTATCACCTCCTAACCCAGACACTGGGCTGAATTCAAGCTGACAACTTCTTCATGGAGTTTTCTGGGGTGGCTTCCCTGCAGCCTCTGCCTGTTTATCACCACAGTGTGCCTAAAGGCGAGAAGCTACGATTTCCAGGGAACTGGGAACTTTTTGCTAAGATTTGATGAAGTTTCTTTGAATGATCCATTGGCTCTGGCATTTGTTTTGTTCAGAGTACTTTATGATTTAACAAACTGATGTACAGACTTTATTTGCTGTTCTGAGTGCTGGGTGCTTCCATAAATCTATAACCTAAAACCAGGTGTCTAAAAACAAGAAACCATAAGCCAGACATGCAGATATCTCACCTAGATGTGACAAAGGAACTTGACAGAAGCAGAAAAAGTTTCCAGTTCTTTCAGCTGCCATTTCTTTCCTTTGCTAGCTGATTATTCCATTTTCCCACAGCCCTCTGCCTTAGGTTTCCATGTCCCAGATAAGCTAGGACTTGGCTTGATATATGACCCTGAGTGAGCACACCAGATGAGCTCTCCACTGCCTGATGCTATTTAGAAGTTACATCTTGCAAACTTGTTTGACTATTCTGTTGCTGGCTGTCCTTCATCAAAAAATGCCAGGTCATTTTCATCAGAGTGAATAAGCTCTCATTTTCTAACACAAAACTTGCATCATGAGCTGGAGCATAGTAAAAAGAAATGCCATTCCACATTCTCGGAGATGATTTTCAGAGCTTTGTGTTGATATTTGCAGCTTAACAATCATATTGTCTCTCATTTAGCTGATACCCAATGAGACAAGGAAAAGCAAAGATTCTTGCTTGGCACTGTGGGGACAAGGCTCAATCATTTTTTTATGCATTTGTGTCATGGTTTAACATGTACACAAATGCAGCACAGTACTGCAGACAAGCTCACCTGCACAGCTCTCAGGGCTGAGACATATTTGCTTCAAGAACTGAAACTCTGAGAAGAGAAACATTTGGAACCTGAAAACTACTTTCTACTTTTCCTAGAAACCAGCTTGAGAAATTGCATAGACAGGATATAAACTCAGAAAAAATATTCCTTTTGAAAGTTTCTTACAAAGGTGTTATAGGATACTCATAAAAAACCAAAAACCAGACAATATAAATATAGCTAATAAATATTAACATTTAAAAAATTAAAAATTTAATGTATGATATAACTAGGCCTGGAAGCATTTTTAAACTTTACAGATTTAAACTTGTACCTTCAAAATCAGTACAAGAGCAAATATCCCTAATAGCACTCCGAAGAATGGACTTTTCTAATATGGGTCTCTGTATTCAAATTCACTTTTTATTTATTTTGGTGTTACAAGTTGTATTAAAACCAGAATGTCAATGTTTGTGTTTTTTATGAAGTCATAGCAAATGCATGTATTTCTCTTTATTCAACTGTTGCATGAACTTTGCGAGGCCAGAATTATTTGTTTAGCTTTCTGGGCACTCTATCCAGAGAGCTATTTTTTATCAGCCACACTTCTATAGTGCATTTCATAAAATCATAGAATGGTTTGGGTTGGAAGGAACCTTACAAACCATCAAGTTCCAATCCCCTTGCCACGGGCAGGGACACCTTCAGCTAGACCAGGGCTCCATCCAGCCTGGCTTTGAACACTGCCAGGGATGGGGCATCCACAGCTTCTCTGGGCAGCCTGTGCCAGGGCCTCAGCACCCTCACAGCAAAGAACTCTGAGGAAAGAATGCCTCATATCTTCCTTTCTCCCCTTTTTGAAAATAGGAGTAATGTTTCCCTTTTTTTTCCAGTCAGTGGGGACTTTGCCTGGCCACTGTGACTTTTCAAATACGAAGGAAAGTGGCTTGGCAGCAACACCAGCCAGTCGTCCTGGGACCCCTCTCACCAGGTCCCAGACACTCGTGGCTATTCACCTTCATCAGATGGTCCTGAGCCTGCTTTTAGCTTACATGCTGGGAGGGCCTTCACTCCCTCAGCTATACATTAGGTGTGATGCTACAAAGAGACCTACAAACAGCAAACACAATCCTTGGGCTGCAAGTGTTCAGGGGAGCAGATCAACATTTCACTTCAGTTTTCACCCAGAAACAAGTCTGGATTTGTAAAGCAGTGTTCCCTCAAGTGCCCAGGCTGAAGCCATCTCACCTGTCCCTAGGTGCTGTCTTGCTTCTGGGCCAAAATGCAGATGTTACAATAATCCTAAAACATCTAGAGCTCTAATTTGTCTGTAATGTGTTCATGAATTATTTGCATCAAGGCATAGATGTGTGACTTCATGGCTGATGCTAGTTCCTGGTATTTGTGATAACTCTGATGAAGGAAAAGCACTGGACACCACACTAAATGCAATGTAATAGACCTGTGGGTCTTGGAGCCACAGGCATTTGACCATGCAATGTTTCATTAACCTAACTCCTGTGGAAAGTGATTCAAGCACTACTTGCAAATTCATCTCACATCATTTAGGCTTTGCTTTGAAATAATATTTTAGTTCAGATGCAATGCTCAATATCAGCAGGGAACAACCAAACAAATGCTCTGTTTGGATGCTCTATTCCTCCAGCAAGAAAAGAACTCAGTCACCCGTGTGTCAAGCACGGATCCTAAGTGTGTGAGAGGAGTGTTGAATTAATTTCCTAACTAACTTTGGAATAAGGCAAAAAGAGTAAGGTCACGAAAGATGAAGGAAGGTCTGAACTTGACTGAGTGTGGCATCACTGTCAGCCTTTTGTTGACCTTAGGTAAAAACATCACAAAAGATGTTTTGTTATTTCCATAGTCTCCAACAGTTTTGTAGAATATTTTATGCATGCTCTTCTCTGTGGTTACTGACTTGCAGGATCCCTGCAGGGCCCTGGGGATGCTGCTTGGAGTCTTTTACATTGGCAACATTGGTTATCACTTAGAATGACTTTTAAATCATTTTAAGTGTGGATGGAAATGAGGAGTCCCAAGAAGCGATTGTTGGCTCCACTTGGCTCCACTTGGCTCTTGGCTCCACGGCCAAGACAAGCATCAGACCCGTGGTAAATAGAAGAGGTAATTACAATGATCAGCATTATTGACTGATTTAGCTCAGTCTAACTGAAAACTCTTCTGCAAGAGAAGGATATCCATTAGGTAGGGATTAATGTTGTGATGTGAAATGCATTCTGCTGTCTGAAAAAAAAAGCAGAGAAAGTCACTCAGACCAGGAAGCAGCTTTCTCAGAGGCTGGATTTCTGAAGCACTGTTTACAGAGAGGTGGTCCTTCTGGGAAATATTATTGCCCTTTTCTCTGTACTAATTACATCATCCAACCTGCAAAGGCATCTGCTTGCCAGATGCTGAGGGGTGTTTGCTGGAGTGCTATTTATCTGAGAGTGAGAGTGTCACTTTGTACTAAAGAGCAGGCGTGGATGCAGCTGCCTGAGAAGATAAGTGAGCGTGAAAAAGTTTTAATCCCTACACGGAGTTGATTTCTTCCACAAATTTCCACAAAAATCTTCTGGATCATGAAAAGCAGAAATCTTAAATTAGGGGACTTGAGGGGGTGTGTCTCAGAATTCAGTCCAAGTCGTGACTTACTGGTAGGGAGAATCTCACCTCGGCTTGTTGATTCCTACAGCCACAGGGGAATCTGGCAACACAAGGTCTTGATGCTGACAGGAGTGGAAAAGGGTCAAGAGAATCTTTTGGCATAATTTAAACAGAGCTTCAAAACCTGATTATCACAACTTCCTGGCAAATACCTCAAAGGAGGATTTTTCCACAATGAAAGATTTGTGGCTTTCACTGCAGTTCTCTGCTGGAAGTTGTAACAGAGGAGGTGCAGTGTGAGATGCCCTTCTTTACACTGCGAGTGATCCTGTAATGTCACTTACGTGGTTTGCTACAGGACGACATCTGCAAATAAAACCGTTGTTTCGTTCTTTAGATTTTATTTTTAGACTTTCTTCTTTTGGATTCAGGGCTGTACCATAAATTCCTGCTAAATTACAGGAATGACAGCCACGGGTGCTCATTTTGGTGGAGAAAACCAGGGCTGTCGGTGCGTGTGTAAATAAAAGAAGGCCTCTGTTATATGCAGCGATCAAAGGAAGGTTTCTATGTCTGGAAGACTCTCTACTTTTTCTATTTTCCCTCGCCTGCCGGGCTACTGGGAGCCGCTTTCTCCGCGCCAGCCCTGCCCGCTCCCGGCCGCTTTTCCTGGAAAGCGGGGCAGGAGAGGGGGCGGGCAGCGGCGGCTCCCGCGGAAGCCTCGCGGTGCCCGAGCCCCTTTCCTTTGGCTCTGCTCCGGGTCCTTCCCGGCCAGGCGGGGAGGAGAACGCCCGCCCCCCGCGGGGCCGCCGGGGAACATCTGGGCGGCCGCGCCGGAACATCTGGAGCGGCCCCGGCGCATCCCGCTGGAGGCTCCAGCCCCGGCGCTGCCCGGGGGCTGCGGGACCCGAGCGGGAGGAAGGCGAGGGACCCCGAGAGGAAGGTGAGGGACCCCCGAGGGGGAGGTAAGGGAGCCCCGAGCGGGAGGAATGTGAGGGACCCCCGAGGGGAAGGTAAGGGACCCCCGAGCGGGAGGAATGTGAGGGACCCCGAGAGGAAGGTAAGGGACCCCCGAGCGGGAGGAATGTGAGGGACCCCGAGAGGAAGGTAAGGGACCCCCGAGAGGGAGGTAAGGGACCCCCGAGGGGGAGGTAAGGGACCCCCGAGGGGGAGGAATGTGAGGGACCCCCGAGAGGGAGGGAAAGTGAGGGGCCGGTGCCGGTACCGGCGCCGGTGGCGGTGCCGGTGCCGGGGCCGGTGCCGGTGCCAGTGGAGGTGCCGGTGCCGGTGCCGGTGCCGGTGCCGGTGCCGGTGCCGGTTCCGGTGCCGGTGCCGGTGCCGGTGCCGGTGCCGGTGCCGGTGCCGGTGCCGGTTCCGGGGCCGGCGCCGGTGCCGGTGCCGGTGCCGGTGCCGGTGCCAGTGGAGGTGCCGGTTCCGGTGCCGGTGCCGGTGCCGGGGCCGGCGCCGGCGCGGCAGGGCGGGCGGCGTTTGCCGGACCCTGCCGGGGCAGCAGGGCCGCTCCCGCTCGCTCGCTCTCTCGCTCGGGGGGCTCGGGGGCTCGGAAGCGCGCACGGGATGCTCCATCCGCGCGGCCCCGCCGAGGCGCGCTGCCCGGACGGGGCGCGGCGCTCCGCCCCGTGCGGGCTCGCAGCCGCGGCTCCGCACCGCCGAACAAAGCGGGCACTGAGCGCTCGGCTTACTTCTGAGTTAACTACGTGATGTTCTCCCTCTCCCTCCCTCTTGGATTTGTCAAATGGAGGTGTACATCCAAACTGGAATTTCCAGGCAAAATTAAAAGAATTTAAATGTACTTCGTGACCTCCTACTATATGAGAGAAACCCTAAAATTATCTTAGCCTCTTTATTTTACTCTCCTAATAACACTTAATACTTGATATGGTATAAAAGAAATCATTATCTTTTTGATAAAGGGCTTTCTGAAGAGTTTGGGAACTGGAGTACTTAAGACCAAAGTATTTCTGCTTTTTACTTTTTAAACCAAATGTTTGGTTATTACCATGCATTTGCATCCTTAGGACTTGTGATTTCTCCACTATGTATAACTTTGTTTGCATCACCTTATATTGCTATTTCTGTGGAGGTCTTCAAATTATGGCACAAGTTGTACTCCAAGTAATTGTAAGTACTTTGTAAAATGAATGTTTTCAATATCCATTTTAGATGAAAATTCATCATTGACTCTGAGGTTACCTTTCAGAAGTTTGCTCACATGTCTTTTGCTGCTTTTCAGGGTTGCTTGTGTGGATTTTTCTGTATTTTTCCCTTTACAAATGAAGCTGGGCAAACCAAATAGATTTCTTCAGTTGTGGAGACTGTGGGTAGAAATAACTGCTGGAGAAGAAAACTCAAATGAACCTTGAGGAGAGGCAGGAATAATTACGCCTGTGTTTAGGCAAACTGCTGTTTACTCTCTTCTTGCACACAAATCTGCCTGTAAAGATCATTTGAGTCAGTGCTGCAGATGGCCAGTGCAGCAGTACAAAAATGGCTCCTTGTTTCCAGTCTGAAGAGGTGCATGAACCAAAACTTCTTAGTGTTGAAACTCTTGTCGACTGGCTCCTTTTCCTTCCATGTGACCAAACACACTCAAGCTCACTTGCAGTTGGCAGTAGTAATAATTTTGAATGTCTCTTCCAAGCTACGAGCAAGACAAGCTCCTAAACCCAGGAATTACAAATAATTTGACATTGTTTTTGAAATACCTTTGTTTTCATAGAGTGAATCTCTACGAGGGCAGTTCTCTCCCATCGTGCAGCATGAGCCAGACCTTGGGTCCTGGTGCTGCTTTTGCTTCCAGAAGGTAAAAAGGAGACTTGAATCCCTTTGATCAATTTATGCCTAAATCAGGGCCTGTTATAACACTTTAATGCTATCCGAGCAACACTCCTAAAACTCTTGCTCCAAATCACCTTGCACCTGAGACATTTCTAAGACAAACTGTGTAGCATCTGTAATGCCAGTGGTTTTGGAAGAGGATCTTGCTGGGTCTGCTCCCTCTGTTGTGTTGTTGGAGGGGCTGCAGGAACTGAAGCTGCTGCTGATGCTGTACCATGGAGGACTCTTCAGTTTCTGCTAATGTTGCATTAGCACAGACTGATTCCAATGCAATGAGTATGAAGTGGTCCTGTAAACTGGAGCTACACCTCTCAAGCATTTTGTCTCCTCTGGCTGGGCAAAGCCAGCCAGCCATTTCTCCCAGCTAGCATCAATGTTACACTTGCCAACACTCCCATTTATTCATTAGTGTTCCTTTTTGGTTTTGATCCACACAGCTTTCTGTTGTTGATAGTGTGCTCCCCCCAGGCTACAGCTGGTAGAGGCAGTGCATTTGGCTCCCCTTGGAGAAGCAGTATTATCAGCAAGCCTGAGACTGACAGACAAGACTGCAGAGAAAACATCAAGGTACAAAGGCAGGTTAATCAAGGCAAAGCTCTAGGTGCAACCCCACCTGCTCTGTTTCACAGCTTTGTGAAAATTACTGATAAGAAAATTTTTATATATTTCGTTTCTTATCACAGCAGAATGCTGTAAGCCCCAAGCACTCATAGGATTAGTTATAATCTTCAAATCCATAAGATTTAAACATTTAGTTTTAATTGCTTTGTTTGCAATGAGGGCTCACACTACCTAACTGTACTGCAAAGACAAATGGGGTGGCTGAAGATGGGGACAGTCTTTTTAGTAGGATTTCTTGACAGGACAAGGGGTAATGGTTTCAAACTAAAAGAGGGTCTATTTAGATTAGATATAAGAAAGAATTTTTTTGTGAGGAGAATGGTGAGACGCTGGCACTGGTTGCCCAGACAGGTGGAAAGGTTCCTCCCAACGCAAACTATTCTATAACTCTATCAGAAGGTTATGAACAGTTAATGGAATAACTTCAGAAAGCAGAGATTCATGAACAAGTGGTGGCTACGCGGGATCAGATAGCAAAATGAAGCACAGTGTCACAGCAGAAGCCAATGTTCTGGACACGTGGCCCATGTCTCCAGCCTTCTCCCTTGCAGGGGACAGGAGAAGTTCAGCTCTACAAGTGCCACCTTCTTGTTGCTGAAGTACAAGCTGCTATGAGCATTACATTAGGAAGCTGAGCCTCTTTGTAGTTTTTCAGTAAGAAAAGCAAGTCCTTCCTATGAAAACCATCAAGGACTTAATAATGACCTTACATTTGTTTATATGAGCTCCCTTCCCACATTTGTTTATATGAGCTCCCTTCCCATTTTTGTCGACTAGAGACTGTCCTTAAGGTGAAAGCTTATTAATGCACACAGCACAGATGACAATTCTGCTTCCCAGATTTTGTTAGTGTTTGGTGATTCCTTAAAACAGGGTCTTTGTAATCCAGTTTCTCATTCAAAGGCTTCAGTCACCCCAATGTCTGGTCCTGTACACGATGAAGAGGATGGTGCCAGAATCTTTTCAGTGGTGCCCTGTGACAGGACAAGGGACAGTGGGCACAAAGAGAAACACAGGAAGTTCCACCTGAACATGATGAAAAACTTCCTTCCTGTGCAGGTGGCTGAGCACTGGACAGGCTGTCCAGAGAGGCTGAGGATTCTCCCTCACTGGAGACATTCAAGAACTGTCTGAGTGCAATCCTGGGTAACCTGCTCTAGATAAACTCGTTTCAGGTGGGGGTTGGACTAGATGACCTGCAGAACCCCCTTCCAGCAGTAACCATTCTGTGATTGCATGATTTTGTGATTCTATGATAAAAGGAATTGACTTCAAAAGGAGAGTGACCGCATATAGGACTTTCACTAGCCAGCACAACTTGGGTTAAAATAGGGAAGCACTGAGGGCTCCAGCCAAGTGCAGCTCTGGGTGGGCTGGACAGCAGAGGTGATCTCAGATGTTAGTGAAGAGCTCCAGGCACAGCAGCAGGATGTCACAGCATCCCTCTCTCTGGCAGCACTCTGCCTCTGCCACACAAAATAAAAACTGCCGGGCTGGGAGGAGCCCTGCAGCCCTCAGCTGGGAGCCTCTGTGGAGAAGGGACCTGCTGCCCTGCATGGGGACAGAGGGAGGGTGACCCCACTGTGGGCAGGGAAGTGGCTGGGGTGGCTGGAGCCAAAGCTGCTCCCACCAGAGACCAGCACTGCTGTTCCTGCAGCAGTTTACACCATACCCGTGCTCTTTTACCTCTATTCCAAGCAGTGCTAGGAAATACCAGGGTTTGTGACCAACACAGGAACTATGAACCTTTCCTAGGAAAAAATTACACTTGCATGTCCCATGCACTTACCAGGTTTGCTTTTTGTATGTGTAAGTTTTTTTGAACTTGTGGTGCTCTGAGAAAGGCTTCAATTTGGCAGTCCTGAAGACCAAAAATTTCATATCCCCAGATGAGCAGCTGCTCAGATATCAAGAGCCAATGGTAAGATTGTTATGTAGTACTTGCTGTCCCTGGATAACCCCTGCAGATAGCCTGCTCATCTGTGGGAGCAGAAACAGTCAGCAGATGCACAGAGAACAGGGAAAGAGAGCCAGAAAATGGAAGGTCACGAGAGATAACAAACACAGTGAGGAGCACTCAGAGGGCTGACAAGTATCTGGGAAGGAAGAGTCTCTGACAGATGCAAGGCACTGAAAAAGAATAGAGCACTACAAATTGTGGGCCCAAACTCATCACTGTGGGAGAGTGTGTCACAGAGTCCCTCCTTTCTAGGGCCAGCAGATAGAGTTCTGGTCATTACCACTGTGATTTTTGGTTTTCATCACTGTCTTCTAGGCTTGAAGATTCTCTCAAGGCTTGAATTCTTCTCCTACCAACTTTGGAAATGCATGTTTATGACATTTCTTTTTTTTTTTTTTTTCTTTACCTGAAAATCTTTATCTCCCACACCCCTAAGCCAAAACCACCAAGGCTGTCCTGTCACTTTTCAGCATTTCAAATAGTCTTTGTCCTGCTTTCATTCATAC